AAATTGTTGTTATATTTAGTTTATTTAATTTTAACTTGTTTGCAGCAGGAGGGCTAGTCTGCTGCCAATTGATCTGTCATGACTAGAAGTGAATATTTATTTTAATTAGAATTATTGAATTGTTTGCTTTGATGACATGTAGACAAAACATAAGCAGCTTATTTTAAAATGTTACCTGATAAATAGCCTCAGGCATTTAATTGGAGTTAAGTTTTGGATTGCATTTTTAGATAAATTTCTGTGAAAGTGCCCTAAGATCCAGCAAAGCTGTTGTTTTCATACTCTGAGAAATTATTCTAGAATAGTATTTGCAAAGGGAATTGAAGACAGACATGTACTTCATATTGTTATTTTGAAAGTAGTATTTATTAATCATTGAAAATTTAAAATATAATGGCAAGCTCCACAAAAAAGAATCACCCATAATCTCCATCATTTAGCAATTAATACTCCTTTATGTAGTGACTAAATATGTGTATTCCATTATGTATAGTTTTTAGAAAAATCAGCTCTCATGCTGTATTAGTCAGATTTTCATTGCTGTGACAAAACACCTAAGAAAAACAATTTAGAGGAAGAAAGATGTATTTTAGCTCATGGTTTCAAAGTTTTCAGTGATGGTCAGCTGGCTCCATTGCTTTGGGTGTGAGGTAAGGCAAAATATCAATGCAACAGGGCATAGGGGAGGAAAGCTGATCACTTCCCAGCAGACAGGAAACAGGGAAATTGGGGAGGGGAGGGGAAGGAGAGCGGGGCTGGGACTGGGGGACAAAACATAGTGCACACCTTCAAGAACCCAATCCCTGTAATTATGTTCTACCTCCTGTGGTTTCTACCTTCTCCCCATGGTCCATTCAACTATAAATCTATCAGTGGCTTTCATGATCCAAATCATTGCCCAAATCCCTACCTCTGCATTAACAAGTCTTTAATGCACAAGTCTTTGGGGGGATACTTCATATCCAAACTATAATGTATGACTTGTGCAACTATTATTTTTAAGTATCCCCAAAAAGGTGGCTTTGATGTAATAATTAGGAAGAAGCTTGTCAACAAAGCAAATCCACAAGCAAATTATTTTCTGCACCGACCTGAAGTAGGCTCATGGCTGCATCTGAGTGGTGGCTGAATGTATGAGTAGATGAGTTGACTAAGATGCTGAGAGCTGTGGTCACAGGGGATGTCAAGGGAGTGTCCTTTGTCTCCTCTGGGCATACAGAGGACGCACAGAAAGAATCAATCCATAATCATGCCAGCCCCTCCTCCATCCCAATTCCACCCCCACGAGGCAGGGTGGCAGACAGGGACATTTAGGAACCATCTGTCCTAATAGTTTCTAGAATATTTCTGGATTCACTTTTTTTTTTTTTTTGCAATAAGTTTATACTCATTTTTTAAAAAAATTATAATGTGAAACAGGTTCAAATAAGAGTCCAATTCAAGAACACCATATTGCACAGATAATTTTTCAAATGCCAAGTTATAGAAAGGATAATTGTACTAAGAAACTTTAGACAAAAGCTAATTGCAGTGAATTCGCTTAATTATTTAAACTTGACCTTCTTGGCAGTCAGGGCAAAAATGGGAAATAAAGAGTATTAAAAGTTCTTGCTATCTAACACAGTTCCTCAATTCCTTATCAGAAATCCCTGGGGGTGAATGTTTCTCTGAATTCAGAACATTTGGAGTTTAGACCAGTGATTATGTACATATATTGTGTACACTAAATAACAATTCAACAGGATTCAGGCCATTTCCAAACATGTGTACATTTCTGTGGTTGAAGTTGTAATATTCACATCAAGTCTTTAATCCTCAAATATGACCAGGTCAGGTTTTGCCACCAAATAGGTTTGCCATTAACTTACAGGAAAAGTCTTGGTTTTCAGAAATATTTAGATTTCGGCACTGTGCATTAGAGACTGTGGGCCCGCAATAGAAGCTGTTAATTAATCTCTAGAGAGAAAGAAATGTTTTCCTAGTTCAGAAATCTAATACCGTGTGGACTTAAAAGATATTACACAACAAAACAAGCAGGTTCACCAAATGGATGTGTCCCCCCCCACCACCACCAAAAAAAGTATTGTTGCAACAAATTCTACTGAATGCTATTGGATAGGCATCTAGCCTGTCACCAGGATGTGGGGGAGGGCAAGGTACAGCCATGGAGAAGGGATAACCTCCACCTTCAGGCACCTAGAATGGGGCCAGGTGCCAATGTAAGGACAGAAGGTCAGAGGAGGCTTCACAGGGGGTGGGGTCAAGGTGAAACAAGTTTGGCTGCAAGTAACAAAGACAAGCTCATGTTGGATGCCCCAGTGGGGACCTAGTAGAAAGTACAGAGGCAAGCCAGCACCATATGCCTGGCTCCAGGGCCTCTCTCTGGGCTTGGCCCTCCTCAGAGTGTGACCTTACTTCCACTGGTTAAAACATGTAACATTCTAATATACAAAAGTCCAGAAGAACAGCCTATTGCTTCCTGTGGGTCTATTTTATCAGAAAGTAAACCCTATCCAGAAACTCCTAGGAGACTTTTGCTCATGTCTCATTGATGGGACAGGATTCCCATTGCCGCAGCAAAGAAGATGAGACTAGAATAGCTGATAGTAACTGCCCAGGACTGATGCCTGAGTCCCCATGGATTGAGAGAGGTGAATCAAAGTGGGCCAAAGTGAATCAAAGGAAAGGGGGAATGGCGGATGGGCCAATCAGCCATTATGATAACCTGAAGCAGGGAGAAGGGTATGGAAGAGAAGACAGAGATGGAGGGAGGTCACTACCCAAACCCTGGAATCATAGTGCAAGGACAAGGATTGATGACTGCCAAGAGGAGTTACTGTGCCTCAGGCATGTAGAGCAAGGAGCCAGAGTGGGTAGGAGGCTGCAGAGTTGGGAGCCAGACTCTCCAGCTCACATGTGAGCTGTCCCTCCAGCAGGAAAGGGGTCCTCTCTGTTTTCATAAGTGGAGGAGAGGTGAGTAGTTAGCCTCAGGCCCCTCCAGCCTTGCAGGGGACAGATTCAGGCATCCCTCAAGACTGCAGAGCAGAGCCACTGCTCTAGATCTATATAGAGAAGACGAGCTGTGCTTCTTCAATCCATTCACACAACACTTCTGGTATCCACATGTGTGAGTTTTTTCCCCACACCAAGCAACTCAACTCTAATTCTCTGCAGACATCAAATGAGTGTCCCCACAATTCTGACCCAATCTATAAAGTTAGCATCTGAACCCACAGGTTGAAGGCTCTGTCCCACAAGGCTGCCCCCATTTCAGATGATAGTCTTAAGTCAGGTTAGAGGTTGTCATCTGTGCTTCTGATCAACTTGCTATAAGTCAGCAGGTTCCCATGATCCTCTCCTTGGCTCAATCATTTACTAGAATGGCTCACAAAAGGCAGGGAAACACTTTATTTAATATTAACTCGTTTCTTATAAAAGATATTGTATAAGAAATTATATAGGGCAAGTATATGGGAAGTTACAGGAGCTTCCATGTCCCCCACAAGGGTACCCCCATTTTTTTCAGCAGCTGGAAGCTCTTGAAATCCTGTCCCTGTGTGGTGTTTTGGAAACTTTATTACATAGACATGATTGATTACATCATTGGCCATTGGTGATCAACTCAACCTTTAGCCCCTCTCTCTTCCCCACAGTTTGGGGGTGGGGCTGAAAATTAAAGTTTTTTAATCCTGTGGTTGGTTCCCCTGGCAACCAAACTACATTCTCTGGCCAGTAGTTACCTCATTAGTGCACAAAAAGACACTTATCCCTTCAGAGATGCCTTGGGTTTGAGGAGCTATATTCCATGAAAGGCAAGGGAGTGAGGGACTGACCATAAAAATTATGTTAGTTAGCTTTCTATTATTGTGACAAAATACCTGAGATAATCTATTTATAAGGAGGAAAAATTTATTTTGGCTCACAGTTTCAGTCCTGGTTGATTGTTTCCACTGCCTTTGGGCCTGTGGCAAAGCAGAACATCATGGTGGGAAGCATATGGTAGAGCAAAGTTGCTCATCTCATGGTGGCCAGGAAACAAAGAGACAGAAAGAGTCTTGGATTCCCACATCCTCTTCAAGGACATGTGTCCAGTGATCTAACTTCCTTTCACTAGGCCTCACTTTCCTACGTTTCCACCAGCTTCCAGTACCATCAGGTTGGAGGCCCAAGCCTTCAACACAAGGGCCTTTGGGGAACATTCCAGGTCCAAACTATATTAGACCAAATACATATTTCTTATTATATTACAATATCACAGCATCGTCATGTAGGAGAGTGAAGGCTAATCCAGACAAACTCTTAATTTTCCTTGACACACAAGCTTTCACGATGACCTGGAAGCCTCAATCAATTGCAGAGTCTCCACAGGTATGCACGTGAGACCCTGGAGAGAGACCCATGAGGGTGTTTGACATGCTGCATGGTCTAAAACAGGCACAGGCTTTGAGTAGGCATGTCCCCTGGACCCATAGACCCCTCATCCATGGGGAACAGTACAGCTACAGGGAGGCCCCCAAACAGGGGCTCCTCTTGAGCTCTGAGAGTGGCCCTGGCCTCCACACAGTGAGTGAAAATAGGATACAGGTAATGAAGGGAGGGAGGACTTTAGAAAGAAACCCTGAGCTCTGGTTTCCGTCAGAAGGATGGTGCCCCCTTCACCACAATGAGCCTTCCAGGGAAATAGGTGGACATGCATTCTTTTCATATTAATTTGTGGTCATTGTATTTTTTAAATGTTTTTAGTTGCCAATGGATATTTTATTTTATTTGTTTATTCATATGTGGTGCTGAGGATTGAACCCAGGGCCTCATACATGCTAGGCAAGCGCTCTACCACTGAGCCACAACCCCAGTCCCAGGGGTCATTGTAAGTATTTTTTAAGTGGCATAACATTGCATTGTGTAGAAGGTGTCACGTAAGATACCAATTACCCCTCTGACCCTCTGTGTTAGTCAGCTTTCCATTACTCTAGCAAACACCATAAACAATCAACTTTTAAAAAGAAAAATGTTTATTTTGACTCATAGTTTTATAGGTTTTAGTCCATTATTGGTTGGTCCTGTTGTTTGGGGCTGATGGTGGCACATCATGCAGGTGCATGTGGTGGAGCAAAGCTGCTCACCTCATGGCCAGAAAGCTAAAAACAGAAAGAAAGAGACAGGGATTACACAATTTCCTTTGAAGGTACAACCCCAATAATCCAAAGACCTCCCACTAGGCTCCACTTAAAAGTTCTACCACCTCCCAATGGCACCAACATAGGGACCAAACCTTCAACATATGAGCCTTTGGGGATCATTTAAGATCCAAACTATAGCACTCTCCACCTGCAGTCATTCTAATGTGTGGAACATGCTATTTGGAGGCCTGGAAAGAAGAGGAATGTGGTAGTGAGCTGGGGAGAAGGATTGCTCCAAGAAGAACCCTTGGCTGGTTTGGGGTGTGTGTTTTTTTGTGGGTTTTTCTCTTAGTTTGTGAGAGGTTGAGCATGCCTGGGGCTCACAGGAAGCAGTCAGTGGCTTGAGAGAGCATTCTTGCTGTTTTTGCTCATGTGTGAAAGCTGCACTTCTAGAGGTTAAACCTCTGGGTGGCCGGAAGCCCTGACTGAGCTCAGGGGCTCCTTTCCTCCTTCAGCTGAATTGGCTCAGGCTGAGGTCAGTCATCAACAGGAAGGGAAAGGGAGTGCTAGAGCCCAGGGCTGGCCCTGCCTCACTGGTCAGCCTGTCGTCAGTCCTCAAAAACCCACTCTGGGCCTCAGGACCCAGGCTCCTTCACACAGAGAATGCTGAACTCAAGGACCCTGTCATCATAGGGGTGGTGAGAGCTGGCAGTGACAATCAGAGACAAAAGGACCAGGCTCTGGGTGAAGTCAGAACCTGAGTCCTGGCTGACCCCAGAAGGAGCCCATCTGGAGCCCTGTTGATGCCTCCTTCAGGGTATTGAAATCATGTTTTCTCATCCTCATGGATCCCTCAGCTCACCAACTGGCTCTTGCTGTGTGGGGTCAAGGCAAGGATGCAGAGTCCTGGCCTGGAGGAAGGCAGCAGGGCACACCCGTCCGGCAGCCACCCACCGTCTGAAGTCACGTGCTTGCCCGCCAGGCGGAGGCCCACAATGTGGCTTTGTGCAGCAGCTGGCTTCAGGCACACGTGAGTGTCTGGGGTAGCCCTGCATGGCCGGCGTGCCAGCCCTGGAAGACAGAGATGTCAGGCTGGGGAGGGAGGATGTGTCCTGTCCACCTGCTCCAGGGCCCACAGCCAGAACTCTTCAGGAAACACCTGGGTTGACCAGTTTGCTTCAGGGGACACCTAGGAGTTTGGGGTGTGGGTAACTTCCAGAAGAGTCCTGGCCATCAGCCCTATCACAAGCAGGGCCTGAAGAGTGCCCAGCAATCACCCTGCCACTTAGCTGGACCAAATGAGATTGCCTTTGGGATTCTTGCAGAGCTCTCAGGTCTCGAATGAAATGAGAAAAAAAGAGAACAGCTTTGTCAAATTTTATGATGCTGAATATTTCAACTTTTTTATGAGATTATTTTAACGTTAAAACTTCCTTTTTACATGAAGCAGTAATAGCAGACAGAGGTTGTTTTGTGACAACATCCTCCATTGGCAAAATAAAATGTTGACAACTCTATTTTCATCCCTTAAAAAAAGTTCACAAAGCCCCCCAAGATTGACTCCATAGCATTGGCTGGGCCAGCTGGGACACCCTATGAGAGCAATTGGGCAGTTGGTGGAGCAATTGGTGGGCAGTCGCAAGGGGAGGGTGGGGGGGGTTCAGAGACCTCTGGGTGTGAGATGCCCCAGAGTTTTAAGGAGCTACATGGATGGAGGTGGGGGTCGGGAGCTCCCCTGAACATACACCTCTGGTCAGTCCTGTGCAGCTCCCTTCCAGCCCACAGGTACCAGGAGTGGGCAGAGTCTGGGATCCTGGGATCCAGCCTAACTCTCAGGAACACTGTGTGCAACCCTGGGCAGGAGGCCCCTCCTCATTTCTTCCCCTGGCAGATGAGGGTGGTGTTAGTGGTTTTTCTGCATCTTCCCATTTTGCAGCGGTCGGAGTATTGTCTTCAAACAGAGCATACAGAAGGAAGGAACAGGCTTCTTGCCTGAGTAATTTGGCAGGATCTGAGAAAAACAGCCATTCTTTGGCCACAGGGACTGTCCCTTGCCTCATGGGGGCATCCACTTGTGTGGGCAGGAGGGGACAGCTGCAGGATCCTATCCCTGTGGGACTCTGCAGTTACATAGGTCCATAGGTCCATAGGACCTTAACATGGCCAAACCTACCCAGAGATCTTATTAGGATTGATATGTTCCTTAGAAGATGAGGCCACCTGGTCTAGCAGGAAAGTTGCTTCTCATTCATGGACATGTTTAAATAACAAGGGGAATGTCTGTTTGGATTCATCTTTTTGAATAACACAGTAATGTGTCAAACTCAATTTAAGAAGAAACACCTCAGATATTTTTAACTCCTTTTTGCATTGTATTTGCATGGAGGATTTCCCCCCACCCTTGGTACAAAGGATTAAACCCAGGGGTGCTTTACCACTGAGCTACATCGCCAACCCTTTTAATTTTTTATTTTAAGATAGAGTCTCTCTGAGTTGTTGAGTCTGACCTGGAACTTGCAATCCTCCTACCTCAGCCTCCCAAGTTGCTGGGATTATAGGCATGTGCCATTGCACCCATCTGCATGAAGGTCTTTAAAAATGCAAAGTCCCTTTTTACCTGGGACTGAGCCTCACAAGGTTTTTGACCTATTTCAATACTATGTATAATAAGATATACCTGATTGATAAGGTTGCTTTTCCCAGACCAGTATAGAAAGGCTCCAGTCCTGAGTGGCTCCCTGTTCTGGAAACAACGGTAGTAACAACTCTGTTCAGGGAGAAATAAGTGAAAAGATGCCCTGGGCTTGGCACACCCTTCTGTGTTGGAGGCCATGATCCCTATGCTGGGACCCCCAAGCCCTGTCTGGCCTCAGTGAAGTTCTTGGTCTAATAGAAGGCCCAGTGGGCAAACAGAAACAGCAGTAAATAATCGCATAGTGCCCAGGTTGCAGGGAGAATGTGTGGGTGGAGCAGTCACTCAGAGCAGAAAAAGGATAGACAGGTGTATGAGCCTGGGAAGGCATCCAATCAGGCCAGGGAGCAGCATGCATGAAGGCCGTGAGGAATGTGCATGCTACAAAGCCCAGTGTGCAGTCTGACTGGGAGGGTCACCTGGCTATGAGTCCAAATCACTGAGCTGCCAAGTCTGAAGAGCAAAATTCTCCAGCCCTTCTCTGGAGAGGGGAAGTCATGGCTATAGCCAGATATCGCTGGTAGATCACCTGGAGACCCAGGGTAAGAGGGTGTGAAGTGGCAGGTTATAAATGACTGGTAGAAGTTCAAATCACCTCTCTGAGCCAGTTTCTCCAGATAGTGCCAGGTGTCAAGGGGACAGAGGGGCAGCATTAGGACAGGCTCCAGAGAACTGTGTGCCCCGGGATGGCTGTAGCCCTTTCAGCTGCTGGGTGGTGTGTGGGGGGGTGGGGGGTCCTTGCTGAGCCCTGGCCCAAAGGGGAGATGGAGTTGAGAGTGGAGTTCACTCATTGACTGCAAACTGGTCACCATTCTTGTATTATGCTGTAGGAGATTGTTCATCTCTTCTTACCCCTTACCTGGGCACCTTATTTCTGGGACTTGTTGCTATGGGGTTCCAGAGCTTTCTCTGTCAATGAGTTGAGGAAACTCTGGTATCATATTCCTTCTAAAACACCATCTTTCTAATCAGAATCAGAATGATCTGTAAATTTGATGCCATTAGAACTCAGATGAGAGTTGGGGGTGATAGGAAGCGGGAAGAGACTGTGGAAAAATAGATAAAATTCTCCTACACCAGCTGGACCTGCAGAGCTGTGAGCTTATGAGCATCTAACTGAGCTGGGGTCCAAGTTCACCCTCTCCAATCTGAGATAGGGGCACTGAGGCCTGAAGAGATCTCACAATTGTCCCCCAAACCTTAAAATGCCTATAGAAACACACTGAAAGACAGCATGTAAGCTGAAAGAAATGTAATCTTTAACCATTTCAATCAGAAATAGAGTCTGACAACTAAATGACAGATGCTTAATTTCTCACACTATTTCTTTCACTATGGTGGAGTAGATATTATTGGTTTGTTCAAGAACAGGGGATTTTGTTTTTGGAAGGGAAGTGGTTGTATAGCATAAATGAGACCACATCTCAAATCTCAAACAAGAATCTGGGGTAACTCTGGGCCCCTAAACCAAGAGGACTCACCCTGCTCATCTGGCCTCCTCATCTGATCCAAGAGTGAGATTGTGCCAACAGTCCAGAAGCCCAAGCCTTGCCCAGGTCTACCTGGCTGGAGGAGCAGCTTCAGGTATCTAGGTGAGGTGACCCCAGGCTCCTCTGAAGCCTTACTCTCTTCTCCTTACCCCCACTTTCCACAGGAGATAATCATCTGTACATACAGTTTGGATCTGGATGTTCCCTAAAGACTCATGTGTTGAAGGTTTGGACCCCAGTGCAGCAATCTTCAGAGGTGGAGTTTTTGAGAAGTGATCAAATCATGAGGGCTTGACCTCATCAGTAGACTAATCTATTGATGATTCACAGCTAGCTGAATGGATTATTGGGAGGTGGTAGGAACTATAGGAGGCAGGACCTAGTTGGAGGGAGTGAGCCCTTGGGGACTGTATCTTGTCCCTAGCTTTTCCCCCTGTTCTTTTACTATGCTTTTCAGCAACCATGAGTTGAGCAACTCTGCTCCACCATGGCCTCTCTGCCATGTTACTTTGTCTCACCACAGACCATAGAAATGAAGCCAGCCAATCAAGGATGGAAAACCTCTGAAACTGTAAACCAAAATAAATCTTTTCTCCTTGATGTTGTTTTTCTCTGGTATTTTGTCATAGCAATGGAAAACTAATTAACACATTATTCCTATCAAGATTAGAGAATGAGGGCTAGCAGGAATGTCTGTGAAAGGTACTAAGAACATAAATTCATATCATGAGGGTCTCAGACTTTTCTCCAGCTGTCCCTACCAATAAATGAGAATAAATAAGGCCCAATAGGGTATCATGTGATGCTGCTTGCACAGGAGATTATCAGAGAATGTCATAGGGATTTTATATGCACTTCATCATACCTCTGTGATTGTTTTAACTATTCTTTAAAAGATGTTTGAAAACATTCATGGTTGCCTGTAGAGTATGGCTCACCTTCCCTGTCTATCCCAGAACTTAATTTGGGAACAAAGCTATAGACAAATAACTCTTCCCCAACTCCTAAACCCAGATCCTTTGTAGCCCAGCTCAGAGCTGTGACTTTAGACCCATATTGCTCATGTGAGTAGGAGCAAGTGGGAAGGAGCTCCTGAGTGCAGGGGACACAACAGAGCTAATGAGCAACTTGTGGGGTGTCAGCAGTGGAGAGGGGGCCAGAGAGGCTGTTGCATTGATCTGGCCTGACCTGCTCCTGTTCTCTCTCATCTTTCCTCTTCCCCTACCCCAAGCACTACCTGACAACCTGCAGAAAGAAGACCATGCAGGAATATCTTCAGAAAGTGGCAAAAGTGAAGATAGGGCTCTTCCAGGCCCCTGGTCCTTCTTGAGGCCCCGGTTAGCCTTGCTTGCTCCTGCCTGCCATATTGATCTATAAGGCCAGTCCCATCAGGGGAAGCAGAACAATTTAGACCAACCCCACAGGACAGGGGAGGGGGTTCCTATTAGGCTGGGGCAGCCACACCTAGAGGTCAGAGTTCATCTGCCTTTCTTTCAGGGTCAGGCCTTATTGGTAATGAGCACCCCATGATCATAGTCCACCCAATACAGCTACTGATATCTATCCAGCATGAGGTCAGCTTCATGCCATTGGGCAATGCCAGTGGTCAGGTGGTACTTTCCTGGGAGAGACAGGGATGGTAGAATAACTTTGCAAGTGGTTTCCAAGGTTGGAAGGACTGGGGTGTGGGGTGAAAATGGGGGATTGGCAGTAGAGAGGTGGTTGATAAGCAGGCAGACTGCACCTGTAGGGAATCACACCTGTGTTCATACACCTTTATAACTTGACCAAATTGCCCAAGGATATGTTCTGCCCAAATAAAAGGCATCTGCCTTCTTCCTCTTCTCGAGTTCTTATATGTTTTTCTGGAAGACGCTTTAATGATAGAAATTCAGGGTTGCATGAAGGCGTCTCTAATGAGGGTGATCAGGAATAGAAAAGGGTCTCTGTGGGTCTACTGTAGGCCAGAACCCTTCATTTTTACAGAACCCTGTGCCCCCTTCAAAGCCTGGCTTTCTCTCAATTTCTCCTCCCAGGCCTCATGGTGCAGGAGTGTTGGATCTTTATTTTACAGGGGAGAGGGTGAGGACGGGGAGCTATTGCTCCCCCAGATACAGACAAGCCAAACTGTGGCAGCCCTGCTGGTGGCCTGTGTTCTCCTCCTGTGCTCAAGGAGTTGCCTGCTGGCTGGAAATTACAACTGCCAGTTGTTGCCATGGTGACTGGTTGTGTTATTCCATCCTGCAGAGACTGAGTGCCCCGTTGCCCCAAAGGGTCTGTTTCTACTGGAGAGAACTTCTAGGGGCAGGGGGTGTATGTGTATGATGTGCTCTGAATGCTGCACCTCCTACCTATCACTCCCTGCCTCTTCCCAGGCTTTTGGAACCTCTGCCCCACCTCAGCAGGCTACCAGGGCCCCATCCCACTCCTTTCTTAGGGGCATTGCCAGAAGGCCACATGCATATTCTGTGCAGGGTTCTTTGCTTGCCTCCCAGCTAGGCATGATGTCAGCTCCCTGTATCAGTACACAAAGAGTACCCTGGTTCTTGTTTCACCTGCAGAGTTCCCTGTTATAGTGGACAAACCATGAGCTGTTTAACCAGGCCTTGTACTTGCACAGTTGAGCCATGTCCAATTTCTGACTGGTACAAGCTATGAAGAATAACCTTGAACATGTGTCATTTTGCTCTTGCAAGAATATTAATAAAAATAAGTTCCTAGAAGTTGCATTATTGGGAAATGAGTGTGTGCATTGTGTGCTGAGTACATGCCAGGCACCAAACTCAACATTTTATCTGGATTATTTAATTTCATCTCATCATTCCTATTCTTGTTTCACAGAGAAGTGAGCTGAGGCTCAGAAAAATTCAGAAACTTGCCAAATTACAGTCTGGGTTAGTTATGCAGTAGTACTGGGAGAGAAACTGGCTCTTGGCCCAGGACTCAGACCCTTCCATGTGGACACATGGGTCAGCCTTGGGCACCTGCTTCATCCAGTGGGCACTCAGCCAGTCCTCAGTCCTCATCACCTGTTCCCTAACCCCTGTTCAAGCTTCACACACACACACACACCCAGGATCCATGAACAGGCCTTTCTCACAACCTCGAGGTTCCTCCTGGGGCCATCCCACTTTGAAGCCTTGACACATACAGTTCTCTTGCCTATGAGACTCTCCCCCATAAGATGGTCAGCCTGTCCTCAACCTGGCCGGCTGCATAATTTGAGATGATGTCTTCTGGCCTTTGCTGCTTTCCTTGGGTCCATTGCTTCCTGGCCAAAATGAGAGTCAGAGCCAGAATCCCAGGCCCAGCACAGAGCCAGCACAGGCTCACCCAGTTAGGCCCAAGGAAGAACAATAGGAGAGGCATGGAAAGCTCAGGGACCCAGGAACACACAGCCTTTTTCCAGCCCAGCTTGCTTCATCTGAATGACAAAATGGTTAGCATGCAGGGAAAGCACTCACTGGTAACCTCCGCCTGTATTTGCATGACAAAAGTGATTGCCCAACGGCTCTCTGGAGCTTTGTTGAGATCTTGCAGCCTCGCTCCAGCAGAGCCTTGGGAATTGTTCCCGGCACAGGTCGTTCCTGGGCTCTACAGCCACCCAGACCTACAAAAGCCACATTGTGAGGCTGGCAGCAGCTGCCAGCACCTGCTCCTTGAGCCACTGCTGTCCATGGGTGTGCCTGCTGCCCTTGCTAAGAACATGGCTAGCTTCAGACCCCAAGGTCATAGGCTTCATCAAGAACACAGTGATGGAGGAGGAACCTTACATGGTTCTCAGAGGGCCTGGAGAAATGGCAGGGCTGGGCAGTGATGAGGTAAGGACTCGTGACTTTTGGCTTAATGAGGGAAGAAAACTGCATATCACAGGCGTGCTATGCCCATGCTGGAACACTGCATTATTTGCTCACAACAAAGGCTTTCCATGATCTTCAGATAAGGAAAGAGGTGCAGAAAGACTCACTAACTGGCCCAACATCACACAGCAGAACTGAGGTTTGATGGGCCCAGCCCTTGGCATGCTCCTCCTCTGTGGGCCTAGAAGGTCCTCTTTCACTTTCTGAGCATCTTGATCTTCTCTCTCCCTCCCTCACCACCTGTCATTATGGTATCCAGCTGCTTTGGTTGGCAAACACACGGCCTCTGCCCTTACAAAGCTCTTTGGGTTTCTGCCATCAGTAGGAATTACTTTCCTCAGGGATCATTGCCTTCTGGCTGAGTGTAAGTCCCTGGCCCCCTAAGTACACCTCTCTAGTCCTGGACTGTGGTTGCTGGCCATATTCAGCCATCACACTAAAATTTCCTTGTGTCCTTTATGGACCCACAAACTCCTGTTAACCCTGAAGTCCCTCTTGAGTTCTACCCCTCTGGGTCCTGTGGGCCCCTGTCCTGACTGTGTGATCCTGCATACCATTGGCACCTGGTACCTAGCCCAGAAGCCATACCTTAGTGCTTACAATCAGTCAACACCTGTGGAACTAATTGAACTTTATACTCCAAATGAGAAACTTGCAGCCCCACTGACTTAAGAGAGAAATGTTTAACCATGTATGTATCTCTGATTAACCTAAGGGGCAAGGGTCACCCTGGCTACAGAAGCAAAGGCATGCCCATTGGGAGACCTTCTTGAGGTCTTCATAAAGCTGTGAACTGTGCAAGGAAAACTGTAGCGGGTGCATCGCCTGGGGATAGTAAGGGCAGAAAAGGGATTGATTACCACCCACAACTACCATGCATTGGAACAGCTGCACCTTAGACCTGGGAACAGCTGTGAGGGAAGGATTCCCCTCAGAGCCATGGCCTGTTCCCAAAAGACACAGCCAGCCTAAAGGGACACTGAGGGGAGGATACTTTCTCCTGCCTCCCTATGCCCTCCTGCTGGGATTCCCCATAGTCCAAAATCAACCAGAGAAAGGTCAAGGGAGTCCAAGATACTACCCAGTGGAGTAGAGTAGAGGTATCCCTGAAGAGCCTCAGATCATATCCCATAAGTGAAAGAAAGCTTGAGCCCAACTAGGGATAACATTATGGCAAGATGCCATGGCTGTGAGAACAATCAATTGAAGAGTGGGGCTGAGCTCAGGCATCAAGAGGAGAAAGAGGCCAATGTCCTCTCCCAGGGAGGATCAGAGGAAAGAAAGGGAGGCATGGGGTAGGCTATGGTGTGGGCTGGGCCTAAAGGATATAGTGAGAAGGTCCTGGTCACCATGAGAATCAAGTGTCCCAGCCCAAGACAGGCTCAACTTCGGGAAGGAGGCACTGAGTCTTACAGGGCCAAAAGTCTGCCATGCAGAAACAGTCAAATTAATGGGAAAAGACAGAGCAATACTGCACAGTTGGAGGGAGAAGGATTGACTGACCAGTGATCTCCCTTTAGGTCCAGGGGACCACCTGGAGGCTCTATGGGCTCAGAACCACCTCCAATAAGCTCACAATGAGCTTGAAAACCATATACCATCCTTCAGACAAATAGGCCAGCAATCCTCACCAGAAAAACTGGAAAATCTCAAAGAGGTAGGCAGGAGGTATGGAATTAGGAACATTTAATCCTCTGTTCCTTTCCACCAAAACGTTCTCCTTTTCTAGGTATCCAATTA